AAATCAACAATCTTTCCCTTATACGCCGTGTGATAACTCCCTCCACCTATTCGTCTCTCGTGCTGGCATTCCTTCATTTCCATCATGCTTCGTCGTTTTGCATTTTCAACTTTTTGTATATGTATATATATATATATATATATATATATATATATATATATATATATATGTATATTTATTTATTTATCTAATTATTTACATATTTTCACACACGCACACCTCTCTCCTCTCTCCCTATCTAACTCTCTCTCTCTCTCTCTTTCTCTTCATTTATCTATAAACATACATAGATAGATATACATATATTGCTTTTTATCCAAAACTTCGCATGTATCGGTTCTGTGTAGAAGGTTATTTGGTTTGTAAATTTACTTGATTTTGCACGACCTTCTGTCTACATTTGAGGGAAATGCTTTGTCATCGTCATAATCTTTCTTGCTTTTCACTTCACCATCGCTTTCAAAGGCGTTTATCTCGAGAAGCCGTTGGGGTTTTGTCATTCTCATTATCACTGCCATTCTCACCTTTTTCAACTGCTGTAGTTGCCGTTCTCTTCCTTCCCTTTCTTCTCCTTTTTCTCCTTTTGTCTCTTTTCCTTCTTCTTGTCCTTCTCTTCTTTCTTCTCCTTTTTCGCTTTTTTCCTCTTTTCCTCCTCCTTTTCCTTCTTCATATCCACCTTTTTCTCCTTCTCTTGTATCTCCATTTTCTCCTTCTCCTCATTCTTCTCCTCCTCTTTCTCTTCCTTCTTTTCCTTCTTGTCCTCCTCCTTCCCGTGTTTCTTTTCCTACCACTTTCTCTTTCCGTTTGTTCTCAGCTTCGCTCTTCTTTTCCGCTTTTTCTTAATCAACAGCAGTATAGTCGCCGTCATGCTCATTATCATTATCTTTGTTCTCTTCTACTTCCTTCTCCTTTTCCTTCCCATACACCACCACCTCCTCCTCTGTCTCCTTCTCCTTCTCCTCTTCTATCTCCTCCTCCTCCTCCTCCTCCTTATTCTCCACCTCTACCTTATCTCCATAGTCATCACCGTCTACCGCCATTCTCTTCCCTCTTCTTCTCAGCATCATCACTATAATCATCATTATTCATCATCTTCCTCTTCCTCCTCTTCTTTGTCCACCTCTTCCTCTCTTCCTACTCATCATTATTATAAGTTATCATCGCACACCACCATTCTCTTCCACCTCCTCCACCTCCTCTCATCACCATCCACCACCATTCTCTTCCACATCCTCCACCTCCACCATTCTCTTCCACCTCCTCTTTCATCACCATCCACCAGCATCCTCTTCCACCTCCTCTCTCATCACCATTCACCACCACCTTCTTCCACCTCCGCCACCATCCTCTTCCACTTCCTCCCATCACCTTCCACCACCATTCGCTTCCACATCCTCCACCTCCTCTCACATCACCATCCACCATCATCCTCATCATCACTATCATCCTCACCATCAACCGGTTTCACGAAGCGTCGAGCGAGAAGAGAAAGGCAGCTGATAATCCGAGGAAAAGGTCAAAGTTGATAAAAAAGAGAAAGAAAAGGAAAGTGAGGATGACCCGGCACAGGTCATGACATTTCAACAGGAAGAGGAAGAAGAGGAGGAAGTGATAAGGAAAGTGGAGAAAGAAGGGGAAAGAAAAAGAATGGAGAAAGGAGAAAGATAAAGAAGAAATGTACGAGAGAGAGATAACGAGTGGGGGTAGAGGGGAGGAGGGAGGTAGAGGGGAGAAGAGAGAGGGAAAGAGAAGAGAGAGACGAGGTGATAATGAGGGGTACTAGAAATAAGAAAAGAGAGAAAGAGAAAAAAAGAGAGGAAGAGGAACAATAACGAGAAGGAAAAGGGGAGTGACAGGAACAGAAAAAGGGAGTGCAAAAAAGGGATAGAAGAAGAGGCGAGGAATAGAGGGGAAAGGAAGAGAGAAGTCTCAAGGCCTTTTCGGCGACACACGCCCTCACGAAACTGATTGTCTAAACATCTCACGTTATGCCAATTCGTAAACAAACAAACAAATACAAGACCTAACGCACACACATACGCACACGACTCTGTACTTACATAAGGTAGAGAAGCTACATCGTAAACTGTAGTGGGTGGACACTCTCGCTCTCTGTCTTTCTCTCTCTTTGTGTGTTTTACTGTTTGTCTCTCTCTGGCTGTCTGGTTTTGTCTGTTTGTCTGTCTCACCTTGTCTGCCTGTGTGACAATCTGTGGCTACCTGTCTGTCTATCTATCTTTCTTTGTTTGCCTGTCTGTCTGACTGCCTAGGTGTCTCGTTGTCAGTCCCGCTTTTCTGTGTGTCTGTCTGTAAGTATGTATGTATTTATGTATGTATGTATGTATGTATGTATGTATGTATGTATGTATGTATGTATGCATGTATGTATGTATGTTTCTCTCGCTAAAAAAAAACAATCATTCTCTGTGCAAAAAGTTGAAATTCCAATCTTATTTGTGTAACCACTTCACGTGCTGCATTTTATTCATATCACTATATTGGCGTCTATAAGATTGTGTGTGATTGTGAGTGACGCGCGCATGTGTGTGTGTGTGTGTGTGTGTGTGTGTGTGTGTGTGTGTGTGTGTGTGTGTGTGTGTGTGTGTCTCCATGTGCATAAGTTTCTGTATATAGGGGTGTATTCGTGTGCCAATATACGCGAATATGTAAATGCATACACGTACGGAGACACCCCCCCCCAAAAAAAAGGGAATAATAAAAAATAGTACTAAAAAAAATAAGTGAAGAAAAAACGTGAGAAGAGGAAGTCCAAAAAACGATGAAAGGGAAACACAAACTTGACGATTAGCAAACACTCAACAGCGATTGAAAGGTGAAAAGGGAAGGGGAAGGGGGGGGGCGGTCAAGATAGCACTTTGCAAGTCACTGATAAAAACAAAACATATATTTTTTTTTAGAAATTGTATAGGCCTAAAGATGAGCGAATTGGGAATAAAAATAAACGCAAGAGAAAAGAGAAAGAGAGAAATGGATGCAAAAAAAGAAAAAGATACACGAAAACAAAAACAAATAATATATATTAAAAATAAGAGAAAAAAACAAGAAAAAAAACGCCACAACTCAAAAAAAAAAAAAAAATAAATAAAAAAAAATAAAAAATTAAAAATAAAAACAACAACTCTCATAGACGTCGAGAGACCCCACCCCCTGCCCCCCACCCCAGCGGACGGGACCGGCAGGCAACCTTGGGACGTCGCTCACGAGACCTCACGAAGCAAAGGCGCCGCTTCTGCGCCTTCGTCTTCGCCTCTCTCTTCGTCGCCGCCTTTCCTTTGTCTCGTTAGCGCCTCAGTCCCTCGGTCATCCGGGGTCGCGAGGAAATACGGAAACTTGGTGGATTCGCTGTTCTTTTCTTTATGTATGGTATATCTATCTATACACTATACACTTATCTATGTCTGTATCTGTATGTATACGAAGATATCTATACATTTCTATCTTTAGCTATGTCTAAATCTATATGTCTAATCTATCTATCTATCTATATATCTATCACTCTATCAATCAGTCTACCTATTTATCAATCAATCAATCATATCTACCAATCTACCTCTCCATCTATCTACTCTCTATACACACATATAACCAAACACACTTGCAATCTAAACGCAATTGCAAGCATATGATTCCATTATGCTTTCAATGGACAATCAATTAACGAAACGACCCGCCAGGCAAACAGTCCTTAGACGAACAAACAATTTAACCGACGCAGGCAGTCATCAAATTACGAAGGTCAACAAATAGAAAGGAGAATAAACAGAGGAAGGAAAGGGAGGATAATGAAGGAGAGGGAGAAATGAAAAAAAAAAAGGAAATGAAAATCAGGGAGATGCTCTTCCTGTTTCTCTTTTTTTTCGTTTTTTATTCTCTCTCTCTTTATATAATCTGTCCCTTTTCTTCTCCCTTGTCTCCCCCCCCACTCTCTGTCTGTCTGTCTGTCTGTCTGTCTGTCTGTCTGTCTCTCTCTCTCTCTCTCTCTCTTCTCTTCCCCTTCTTCTCTTTACTCACATTGGTTAATAATTATTGGAAAGAAGAGGGATACGAAAAAGAAGGAGAAAAGGAAAAAGAGAAGGAAAGAAAGAAGGAGCAGAAGAAGAAGAAGAAAAGGAAGAGAGAAGAGAAAGAAGAATAAAGAGAAGAAAACGAAGAAGAAGAAAGAAGAAGAAGGAGAAGAAGAAAAAGAAGAAAAGTCTGAAAAATGACGACAGAAAGTGACACCCCCTCCCCCTCCCCCCGACCGGAAGACTGTTGTTTCTCCTGCGAACTTTTGAACTTTTACTTTTGTTTGTTCGCGTTGTTTCTCTTCCTCGTTATCTGTTTATGTGTTTCTTTGTTTTTGGTTTGTTTCATGTTCATCATTCTTAGTTTATAATTTCCTTGTTGTTGTTTTTTATTTGTTTTTCATTTTTATAGATTTTTTTATCGTTTATATTTGGTAATTATAGTATTCATCATTGTGTCCACCTCAATCACTAGTGTTATGCGTATTACTCATTAATTATCAAATATCTCCTTTCAAACCTTTATCCACCTCCTCTTTGTCTCCTTTTTTCTCTCTCTCTTTCCCTTCCACTGAACAGCTGATAAGGTCATGGGTGTTTTCGGATCCTGTCCTTCACTTGTTTTTATCTTTTCCTTTTTCTTCTTTTCTTTTCCGCTTCTTCTTCGTTCCATTGTCCCCTTTCTTACTACGATGCTTCTTTCTTCTAGCTGTTATTATGTCTTCGTGTTCTTCTCTTTTCGTTTCTTCCATATGCTTTTTCTTGAATAAGTTTTGTTTGTTTGTTTATCTTATGATTGCTTTCTGTTTCATACTCTAAAAATTATTCAATCTTATTCATCTCTCCCGTTATTCACTGGTTCTTCCTCCTCTTCATCTGCCTGTTTATAAGATGAAATTAATCCACAACTGAATTTAATCCGCAATGAATTTAATCCGCAATGATTCATTAATTCTTTCTTTCTCGTCGTTGCAGATCCACGAGTCCATGAGTACAGAGGATCTCCAAAGAATATTCCACGTGGAAACATCAGAGCAAGGTAAGTTCTTTTCCATTCGCTTTCTTGTTTCAAATTCATCTTGTAGGTCAGTCGTGATTTCTTTTCTCTGTTTTCAAGGTTAATTTCATTTTTTTTTTTGTCAAGATTTGATAGGTAAAGGAAACTGTTTTTTCTTCTTCTTCTTCTACCTGCCATCAGCATATCGTTGATGGAGAAAAAGGAGGCATTGTCCCTTCCTCCGCCCGGTTTCACTAACCGTGTCTAACTAACTGTCCCGGAGGTCAGAGTGTGTCCTTGGGTGTAATTCACCTCCGCGTAGGAGGCGTGACTGTTAGCGTTTATTTTCCGTGTTTTATTAAGCTTTCTATGCAATTAGTGTCACTAGGGACGGAGCACAAACCCGTTGCATCTCCAAGCTTGTTTGAGTGGGGAAAGGGCCTCACATTTTCTTTCGGTTCTTGGTGGATTCCCGTTCTCTGCGGTGAAGGGGAAACTGAGCTAATTTATCATGTATGTTTAGGGGGGGGACGCAAATAAATTTATGCATCGACCAAAAATAGTGATGCACATGTACTTGAATACACACACATGCATAAATATGCTTCTGTAATCATTATGATTATAAACCAAAATATCAAATGCTATTATCAACTTCCACGTTTTCATTATAAGTTACAAAAAGAGAAAACATATTCTTCATCAACCCTTCCTAAGCATTGATTTCCCTCCTCCTCCTCTTCTCTCTCCTCTCTCCTCCCGCCTCTTAATCCTGCTTCACCCTCCCTTTTCATATGTTCTTTATGGCCACGAGAAGAACTTTCCGACACTGATTGAATTTTGATGAATCTCTGGGTGTAGGTGTGGCTCGTCTTGGGTGGGTTCTGTAGTTAATATTCTTATGGTTAGATTTCCCTTTATGTTATGGTACTTTTTTTTCTTTTGGTTCGTCTTATTACTGTTTTTAATGTTATTTGATGTTAGATTGTGTGTATATTATTGTTTCTAGTCATAATAATACATTCATTAAATTGTATACCCACCATAGACGCGGACAGTAAAAAGCACACAAATATTCACATACACTCGCGCGCACACACACACACACACACACACACACACACACACACACACACACACACACACACACACACACACACACACACACACACACACACACACATGGCTAAAATGACCTTGGTTTTGTAATATAAAGAATAATGTACATCGAGATACGTCACTCACTCACCGTCTCCTCGTCTGGCACAGCCTCACGGACGAAACTTATGTTGATATAGATAACGTCTGTCTCTATTGTATTAAATATATATATATATATATATATATATATATATATATATATATATATATATATATATATATATATATATATATATATATATATCCCTTCCTCTTTATATTCCCCTTCCTCCCTGTCCCTACTTCATCCTTTTCTTTCATTCCTGTCTGCGTCTTTCTCTCTGAATTTTCCTAATCTCCATTTCCCTTCTTCCTCTCCGTCTTCTCCAACATCCTACCTCTCCAACCCCTCGTTTTTCCTCCCTCTCCTACCTCTCTTCATCTTCTTACCTCACCAATCCCCTACCACACTGTCCTTCCCCTCTCCTTCCCCGTCTTCACCCATTCCCCTCCCTCTCCTTCTCCTTCTTCACCCTTCCCTCCTCTTCTTCTCTCTCTTCACCCTTCTCTCCCCCTCTCCTTCTCCGTCTCCACTCATCCCCCTCCCTCTCCACTGTCCTCTCCCTCTCCTTCTCCTTCTTCACCCTTTATTCCCCCTCTCCTTCTCCTTCTTCACTTTTCCCACATCCTCCCCTTTTCCCTCTTCACCCTTCCCACACCTTCTCCTTCTCCGTCTTCACCTTTCCCTCCCCCTCTCATTCTCCTTCTTCACCCTTCTCTCCCCCTCTCCTTCTCCGTCTTCACTCATCCCCCTCCCTCTCCACTGTCCTCTCCTTCTCCGTCTCCCCGCCCCCCCTCCGTCTCCCCGCCCCCCCTCAATGAATGGCCGTCGCGTGGCCGAGAGGAGTAAGTCGGCCTCTTCCTCCCGTGCTGATTAGAATTCCCCTTCGGCGTCTAATGATAAGTTTGGGCCGGGAGAGTGGCGTTACCCTCTCCCTGCGTCTCTCCTGTCTTCGCTTCTCCTGTTCCTGTAACGTCTTCCTCCGTTTTATCTTCTCTCTTCTGTTGTCTTGATGCTCGTTTGCTTTATTTTTTGTCTACTCTACTGTTCGGTGTTTTTTAATGTTTTTTTGTTGTTGTTGTTGTTGATATATGATGTTTTCTTTTTAGTATGTATTGTCTTCCATCCTTTTTCTTCTGTCTGGTTATCCTCCTTTCTTCTTCTTCTCTTCTCTCTCTCTCTCTCTCTCTCTCTCTCTCTCTCTCTCTCTCTCTCTCTCTCTCTCTCTCTCTCTCTCTCTCTCTCTCTCTCTCTCTCTCCCTCTCTCTCGCTCTGTCTTTTCCATCTCCCCGCCTCAAAATGAGCTCCCAAACTCTCTTCATTCACTCCCAACATCCTTGG